GTGGACACGTGGCATAGTTGGGTCCAGTATAGATTTAATTTGACAGTGATTAAAATCACTATCATAAGAATCGCATCGATGCAAATCTATAGATGGAGTTTAATTCTAAAAAATTGGATAATTACAAAAGCAACATCAACTTCTATTTCCTTAATTATATCCAGCTTAGTAATTCTTTTAATTATATATTATATAAATTTTATAATTGTTTTCAAATCATTATTGATTTTTAATATGATAAAAGTAATAATTTTTAACATACTTTTTTGTTCTTTAAAGTGAATGTTTATAATAAAAAAAAAAAACCCAGCACAGTGGGGTCGTGACATAGTTGGGTCCAGTATAGATTATATCTGACAGTGATTAAAATCACTATCAAAAAAACGCTTCGATGCAAATTTGTAGGTAGTGTTTAATTAAAAAAAAAAAATTTGTTAATATAGCATATTTTTGAATATGGTAGCCATTTGCGCATAGAAGATAGGTCGTCGGGACAAATTTTTTTTTTTCATTTTATAGTACATAAAATAAGCTTTAATTTGATATATGTTTAAAGGACGCAGTATTTCAAGAACATTTTCAAAAAATAAGTTGAAAAAGTTATTTTTTGTAAAAAAGTTACTATTTTAAATCCCCCAGTGAGCAGAATTAGTGTTAGATTTTCAAAAAAAATTATATCAAATGAAAGGGAAATATCTAAGGTTTCAATACAAAAAAATATTATTTTTATTTGTTCATTTTTGAAAAAGTTATGGCAGTTTTAAGTACAAAAAACATCCCGATAAAAGGTAATTTTTATCGCAAACATTACATTTTTTTTTAAATTTTCGACAGCCATTTGCACATAGAAGATAAGATGTCGGGACAAATTTTTTTTTTTCATTTGATAGTATATAACATAACCTTTGATTTGATATATGTTTAAAGGACGCAGTATTTCCGGAACATTTTCAAAAGTTCAGTTGAAAAAGATCTATGTTTTTTACAATATTTTAAGTTTTGAACGCCCCCTATATAAGGGGAAATTGTCCAATTTTAATAAAAAGTATGTCAAATGAAAGATGTACTTATAATGTATTTAGAAAAAAAAAATTTGTGCTGATATATACATTTTTCAAAAAGTTATAGCATTTTTAAGTTGAAAATTAAAAATCGAAAATCGAAAATTTTAACACAAAAATAGTGTTTTTTTAACTACGGCAGCCGTTTAAATGTAGAAGAAAAAGTGTCGGGACAAATTTTTTTTTTTCATTTTATAGTACATAAAATAAGCTTTAATTTGATATATGTTTAAAGGACGCAGTGTTTCCGGAACATTTTCAAAAATTAAGTTGAAAAAATTAGTTTTTGTAAAAAAGTTGCTATTTTAAATCCTCCCTCATGAGCAAGTTAAGTGTTAGATTTTCAACAAAATGATATCAAACGAAAGGGAAATATCTAAGGTTTTAGTAGAAAAAAAATTTATGTTGATTTATTTATTTTTCAAAAAGTTATGGAAGTTTTAAGAAAAAAAAGTGAAAAAAATGACAAAATTTACCGATTTTTAAATTTGTAATTTTTTTGGATATTTCGCTCATTTTCGGGGAACGAGGGAATTTTTTTCTATTTTTAAAGGTAATGTCTCCAACTAGATACGATTTGTGATCTTTTGACGTACTTTTGAAAGAAATCGGTCCAGTGAGAGCTGAGAAAAAGTGGCAACAGACATAAAAAAAAAAAAANATTATTATATTATATTATTACATATAATATTAAGATATGTTATGATGTTATCATTTGTACATGCATGTCACATATTATGATTATACAAGATCACCAAAACAGGGTTCTCTTATTTAAAATACAAAATAACCCTTTAATCATGCAAAAATCTCCCTCTTGTATATATTATTTAGTAACGCCTACACACAGGATCCTCTTTATAATTAACCAATTAGAATACAAAGCCTCAGCTTCCAGGATCACGGTAGAGATCGCTGGGATACCCCCTTCAGACTATAAAAAGCCATTTTACCCGTCTAAACCAGTTCTTTTCGGCGATTTTAAAAGACGCAAAATCTATGACACTCTATTCAAGATTTCACTCTTCGGAATTTTTAAAATTAATTTGGACTTTATGATAGTGATTTTAATCACTGTCAGATTAAATCTATACTGGACTCAACTATGCCACGTCACCACTGTGCTAGGTTTTTTTTAATTTATTTATTTTAATAACAAATCCAACCCAGCTTTAGATTTTTTATTTAATAGTAAAACTTATCGTGAGCTTTTCTTACTAGGTAGCTAGTCTCGTCGCTAATATCTTTGTTTTAACAAACATCTCACCCGCAGACAACGCAGAGAAACTTACGTGTATATTTGCAGTGTTTAAATTTTGTCTTGGTGATTATTGTGCCGCATAGTGATGAGCAAAACAAGAACAAGACCAAGACTGTCAAAGTCTTGGTCATAGTCTTGTTCTTGATAGCTTAGTCTTGGTCTTGGTCTTGCTTTGCTAACTCAGTCTTGGTCTTGGTCTTGGTCTTGCAAATCTAGTCTTGTTCTTGTTCTTGGTCTTGCTTATTTAGTCTTGTTCTTGATCTTGCCCATAAAATCTTGTTCTTTTTGTGAGTCTTGTCACAATAGTCTTGCAAAATCTTGCATTCATTTATATTTGTAAAAATTTTCTACTTAAAAGGTTTAAATAACGAAGTTATCTACTTCAGTTTGTAAATTCAAATTTAATTTATATGCCATAGGATTTTTAAGTTAGAACTTAATATTAGCATAAACAATATGGATGATTTTTTTATGAATAGTTTGGGGTATTAAAAAAAAATAAACAAATAAATTAAATTATAAAAAAATAAGACGTTATTGAAACAAANGACACTTAGAGATTTTAAAGTGAATTTTGTTTTGGTGAATCTTTTAATTTAATTTAATTTGTTCATTAAATAATAATATTTTATTTTTATCATGGAAATAAATGTCAATTAATATTTTAAAACAAAACCTTTTTTTTTTATATATATAATAAAACCGAATCAACTCTAATTTTCTCAGTTAATGATAAATATTTATTATATGACTAAGTGTATTGCAATCCTATACTTATTGGGTAGCTAGTCTTTTAAGGTTTAATGTCTTTGTTCTAACGAACATCGCGCCGGCAGACAGAGTAAAGGTTGCAATTAAAGATTTTTTAAAGTTAGGTGTGTTAGGTTAGAATATATTTGTAAGCCTATGTGTATTGGGTAGCTAATCTTCTGTGGTTTAATGCCTTTGTTTTAACGAACATCGCGCCGGCAGACAGCACAGAGAAACTTACAAATATATGTTTTTAGTGTTTAATTTTTGTCTTGGTGATTATTGTGCCGCATCATTTCAAGGTGCTTTTTAGCGCCGGGACACATTGGGCCACCACAATTCCGCCTTGATAAATTTTTTACATAGATATAAATATTTTTGAATCTTGTTTTAGACAGGCCATAGGAAGATTTAAGAAATATTGGTGTCAATCTCTCAATAAAATATACTCTCTCAAAAAAAAAAATACTTATTCAACAAACGTAAAAAAATTTAATAAGAACAGATTATAATTACATTTCTAATAAAATATAGAGTATTTAGAATTTTTTACAAGTAAGATCAGTCATAGACTTTGTGTAGTTAAATCATATTATTTAACATTTGAATCGTTTTTACAAGTAATTATTTTGACTATGTGACGTTTAGTGAAAATCGTATACGTAGTGTATTTAATACCAAAATCAACATTGGATTATTTGAAATATTATTGTATCACAAAAGACGTAAGGTAAGTATAATTTAATCTATTTTTTCAAATCTCCAACAATCTATTGCATAATAAACCATTAATAAAAAATTAATAATTAATAAGAGAAACAATTAATGTGTAAATCATATAACAAATATCATAGACGTAGACATTTCATTTTTATTATAATTTAATAATAAAAACCACATAATTAATATAATTATAACCCTTTATTTATTTATATTTTATTTAATTATTTACCTTTACCCCTACCATTAATCCATTAAATTAATTTATTTTTATTTTTGGTTTATTACAGTAGATAAAGCTGGTTAAGCTACTTGTTATTTGAATAAGGAATTTTTTAAGGGTAAAATCTTCAACTAAATACGAATTGTAATCATTTGACGTTTCGTTGAAAAAAGTAGGTTAAGTAAGGGTTGGAAAAATAAATCACGGCCTTAAAAAAAGCACATTGTAAAATAATATTAACATGAATAAAAAATTTCTTCTCACGAGGGGAGACTTTAGTGATGGAATCCTTAATATTTATTGAAGTTATTGAATCTAAATGAGATAAAAATCAAAAGATTTGAAAATTTTTTCTAACTCAAAAAAAAATGCAAAATATTATTTTCCACAGGTGTTTGCATGCAGAAGATAAAGTATCGGGACAAATTTTTTTTTATTTTATAATACAAAAAATAAGCTTTAATTTGATATATGTTTAAAGGACGCAATATTTCCGGAACATTTTCAAAAATTATGTTCAAAAAGTTAGCTTTTGTAAAAAAATTGCTATATTGAATCCAACCCTGTGAGCAGGTTAAGGGTTAAATTTTCAAAAAAATGATATCGAATAAAAGGGAAATATCTAAGGTTTCTTTTAAAACAAATTGAGTTGTTATGTTAAGTTTAAAACAAGTTATGGTAGTTTTAAGAAAAAAAGTGAATAAATGTTTCAATTTTTAAGGGTAATGTCTTAACTAGATACGGTTTGTGATCTTTTGATGCATTATTGAAAGAAATCAGTCCAGTGAGAGCTAAAAAAAAGTGACAACAGACAAAAAAAAACACATCATGGTAAAATTAATAACTTCTCAGCTTCGCATCGGTGCTAAAATATATTTGGTTGATTTAAATTTGTGTTAATGTAATAACATAATTTAGAACACATCTAAAATCATGGAAAATCAATTCTAATAACATTGTTGGAGAATATTATTTTTAATAAACTAAAGAAAAACTTGTGTGATTAAATAATATACATATTTTTTTTACAAATATTCTTTATAAATAATCTTTGAGCTAAAAATAATAATATTTTCATTTACATGATAATTGTTTAAAAATCTATATTATTATATTGTAACTAAAATTTTAAAGTTCAAAAGTATAGTATAAAATATAGTATAACACTCATAGTATAAAATTTATTATTTTACATTCTTCTTCGTTATTTTCATCGGCATTATGTTTTAATTTATATTCGTCTTTAATGTTAGTAATTAGAATATTCATAGCTTCAATTAGTTCCTTATTTTTGTCTTTAATTTCTGTTGGAGGGTAATATTTTTTGTCAATTAAATTTTTACTTATTATAGATTCATACGTTTCCCAATTGTTTCCTCCAAAGAGTTCAAGAGAATGCCCATTATTTGAAAATTGTATCAATTTTTCACCTTCGAAAAAAATATCTATGATTTTTATTATTTCACTAAAAAGTGTTACGATTCCAAATTGTGGAAATGAATTTTCTTTTCTTGGTAAATATTTGAAATTCTCTGAAATATTTCTGATGTTTTCTAAGACTTCATTTTCTAAATGAATAAACTCAAAAAAATTACATATAGTATATACTGCGGTACTAAATTTTCTAATAATTTTATCATAATTCAATGGTTTTATTGCCATATTACCATAATGAGCCAAAACATACACATATTTTAATGATCGATACAGCATGGCATCTTTATAGAAAGGATAAAGCCAACGCTTCCATTCCGTTTGTACTGAATTTTTCCATCTCAAAATTATCGTATATGTAGTAACAATTCTAAATCCATCAATTGTAAAGTTTCTGTCTGGTCCTATTACCTTTTCATTTTTCAAATATTGTTCGTTTTCGAATAACAAATTATCTAATTGAATTTGATCAATATAAAAACATAGTAAAAATATTGTTGACAAAAATAAAATTGAAATGTTCAGCATCGTCTCGATATTTGTGCGTTACAAGTTTAATGTTTTTGATTACTTTAATAGAATAAAATTCTTGTAAAAATAGTTAAATTTAATATTTTCTACTTTATTTTTATTATTGACGCACGTATTAAATTATATTAAATATATTTTTATTTGCCTTACTGAATGACTATTTTTAATTTAAAACTATTAAATAATGAAATATTACATTTTTATCAACTTTCTAGAGTTGCCATTTTAAGTTCAAACCATTTATACTTTTAACTCAGGATTAAATTACAAATACAATTGAATTTTTTAGATATGAAGAACTATTTTCATTGGAAATAAGTTTTTATTGAATTGGGAAATCTTTATAATCGCTTAGATAAATCAATAATAAGAATTGAAATTTTTATGATTCAAGAGACTGGATTTTATGAACAGCTATAACAGAGGTTTTTTATTTATGTTTGTTAAACCAAAAAATTATAATTGTATTCATTTCGTCCTGTTTTGTCCCCATTTAGGTAAAAAACCAATGATGTTTTTTTATGATAAGTTTCGGAGTGTAGTTTTGCCTACCTATGTGGATATTGAATAATGTATGAAGAATAGACTTTTTTCTACACATATTTTTTAAAAGTTACAACAAATTTATTGTTGTATATAATTATTAATAAATAAAACAAATAAATTATTAAATAATTATTTAATTATAATAAAATATAAAGTGTGATTGGTTAACTTTGTCTCACAGTAGGTGTATAAAGTATGAACAAGGACCCCCCAAAACGGCTCCGCCGTTTCATCTCCCTGTCGGTGTAAACATCCGGGGGTATATGGTGAAAGATAGATCTTACTCGTTCCTAGATAGTGTTGTGTTATACCATGGTATATGTTCAGTTACCATGGTATATTAATAGTATACCGAGGTAGATTGTACATTATATCGTATACTTTGATATATTACAGAAAATTGCATAATTTTAGAAATATGTTAAATTATTTGAAAAGTGAAAAGTGCAATCGAGCGGCGGCAGCGGCATATTAACTCAACAATACCTGAGTAGCATTATTTTAGTTCACGGTTGGTTCAAGCGACCCATAAGTGCTGGGAGAGTTCAATGTTCAATAATGAACCGTGTAATTTTTTATAAGTTCTAGGAAAGTTCAGCGTTCAATAAATAACCGAACAATTATTAGTAAGTGCTGAAACCGTTCAATGTTCAAAATAATCGTACGGATTCACCGAAGTTCTTTCATTAAAATGAAAGAATCGTTATAACTTATAACGGTTATAGCCGTTCAAATATTTTTATTCACTTATACTATTATTAGACATATTATCCCTTGATTAGTAAATTAATAAAAAAATTTAAAAATAATAGTCATAAAATATTTTTACTGAGATTATAGCGCGAATTTAACGTACGAACTTTTGGCGGAATAACCAGACGTGTCAGTAACCGTTGATCAACAGTTTTAGTTCACGCGATTTTTATTTGTTATTTAATTTTCACTGTGACATTTTTTCAAATCATCAACGATTGATTAACTCTTTTTAACACGCTTATATAAGTTTTCCATCTATGTTAGTTGTTTGTTGTTAGTTTGTAACTCCACGCGGCACGTTTTATTATGTCGCGTATCCTGTCGTGTATGACCTTAAGACTAGACAGTCGTAACGCATTCACCCCACCCCACACCTCGCTCTACACGACGGCAACACTATTCTTGTGTTTCTTCTTCTTCACTATTTTTGGTTATCGTTCCCATACACACGTGCGTGTCATCAATATTATATATATATAAACAAATTTTTATTTTGACTGACCAATACCATCCGCGTGTCATACGGCTTACGTATATATTCTTACCGCCGTTTATACCTCAGGTATAACGTTAGTCCCACCCACCCGTCCGCCCACAAAACACAGCTATACCTAGTGCATGATACGTTTACGTACTTAAGTCGCTTTACTTGTATATATAAATATTCTAATTACTATTAAAATTTATATATTAACACGCTTTATTCTAATTAAGAGATATAAAGTATTCATTCTGATTAAGAGGGATGATTTCCGTATCGTCATTTTTCGTCACTACCTCCACGTTCCGGGAGTGAGTAATTTGCGCGCCTGCTGCTTTCCTTGGATGTGGTAGCCGTTTCTTTGACTCCCTCTCCGGAATCGAACACTGATTTCCCGTTACCCGTAACAACCAAGATATTGATAGTAACTACTATCATAACATGAAACTAAAAAGTGAAAAATAAATATAGTTTAAAAAAAAAAACGCTTTTAAAGCACATCGAACTAAAAAGTTGAAAATAATTTTTAAAATAAGTTTAAAATAGTTATGAACAAAAAATACTAGTATTATTGTGATAAAAGCATAAGTGTTTTGTGCCATATTTTTCGTATATTGAGCGCCCGACGCTTTTATCACAATAATAATAGTATTTTTTGTTCATAATTATTTTAAACTTATTTTTAACTTTTTAGTTCGATGTGCTTTAAAAGTGTGTTTTTTAGTTTTTTTAAACTATATTTATTACAAATTTTTTTTTCGAGACATTTGCCATTTTCACAGCGACTAGATAACTTGTCAAGATTGCTCATTTTCCCTGTTCACTCTCGCATATATATTTAACTGAAAATTTCAATAAAATATAAGTAAATTTAATTTAAATTTAGGAGTAAAATAATAAATAGTTATTTTAATTAATTTTAATAATACCATATATTATTTTTTTTAAAGATAATCATACATTTTAGTAACTACATTTATTGTAATTGTAATAGATACATGTGGTAAATTATATATTAAATTTTCGCATTTTGTATTATGATTAATTATAATTGTAATACAAAATTATTTATTTTAATAAAGTACTATCGTTAGTTATGTAGTTATTAAATTATTAACAGACACTTCAAGATTTTCCATGAGCTTAAAATGTTGAACATTTTTATTCATACATCATTGTCGTTATCATCATATCCTTGGCTTTTATCCCAACTACTTGGGGTCGGCTCCTTTAGCTTATTTTAAATCGTCTTATTTATTGATTTTTATTTATACATGTGATATAAATTATTTCTGTATTTCAATATTTAAAATATATATTTCTCAATATTGTATACATTGAAATACCATCTTTTAAAAAACTGTTGATTTTTAATGAAAATCCATCTATTGTGCTACTCAATAATTTAAATTTATGAAGCCTTTTAAGTTAAAAAGCATTGCATCTATTTGAATGAGAATCATATTTCAATAATTCAAATTTTAAATAAATGAAAAGTATTAAGTTTAAGGTTTTCACCGTTTAATAATTAACAGTGTTTTACATTAAACAAGATTTTCATCCGACTCATTTTTGTAATTATTTGTAACCTTTATACTATTAAATCAACAAGATTTTTATACAAATCAATCAATAAAGGGCACATTTTAATCTATAAGTGGCTGGCTTACATGTAACCTAAGTAATTTTAATATATAAATATAACTATTCACAGTAATTTCCCTTAAACAAAAAACAAATCTATATACCTAGGTTGTCTAAAATACACAATATCCAAAACACAATTATTTTATAACTTGAATAATAACAAAAATGAAATACTTCTTATGAAATATCAGGTCAAGTTTACTTCACTATATCAAATAGTTACAATAAATAAATGTTGATGGATATCATACTTTTTTAATTTCTAATATTTAAAAAATATATCTTTTTAATAAGTATAATAAATATTTTACTAAGTATAGCCATGTACTTGATAAAACATTTGAATACTGTAACACTAAAAGGTTAATATCTATAAAATTTATTAAATTAACTTTATGTGCTGGCACTTAATAGTAAATTGATATAACTCAATAAACATTTTTGAACATTGAGTTCATATTAATCAAAAGTGCAATAATTAATAATAATTTATCATTTACACAAAAATATTTGAACTCCCTATATTTTTTCTTCTCCAGAAATCTGAATAACTATCTATTGACTTTTATGACTTTAACTTTAAAACTTTATACTCTTTTGTATTAAAATATTTTTATTTAGAATAATAAAAAATTATAAATATAGTATATTTACTATTACATAATACTAAATTATAAATTTTTTTTATACCTAAAGCATGGTTATTAATTATTTTTTATAATTTATTATTTAATAGGTATGTTATTTTAAATAGAATTATTCTTTGGGAGCGTGATTTATTTAACTTGAAAGGTTGTTCTATTGAAGTATTCTTATCTTCACTTCTTATTCATATTATTTGGGATACAATTACCAGAGCCTATATTAATACTGGTGAGATACCAACTACTTAAATAATGATTAAACTATAATAAGCGTGGTACAAATCACGCTATGTTGATTAAAATGTTGTCAAAAAATACCGCATAATGTTTCAAAGAATATGAATATTGTTGGTGTAAATCTCAAACAGACTTACTCCTTTTTATTGCAGTGAAAAAATACTGGTTATATCATAGTACAACTAGTATTTTTATTCTTTTCTAAATAGCAGTTAAAATATCATTGGATAAAAAGAGATGAAGAGGATGCTACAACCTGTATACAGGAACGATTCTAATAGTAAATTTTAGGGGGTGTGAAGTGAATTTTGCCGACAAAGTACTTTCATGGGTACAAAATTCTACAATTTATTCTAAAAATTCCGACTTATGATTTTAATAAACTTTGGGGGATATGACATCCTCACACTCTTCTATGAAATACTTCCTTCTATAAAACATATTTTGCCTGTGCTCCGTCCATCTATTGTATAGATATACTACATTGTTCAATAAATAAAGAAAAAGAAGTCAATTATTACGAACAATGAGAACCCTTTTCCTCACTTTTTGAACACTTTTATATTCTATACAAATATATTTATTAGTTATTATATGTACTAATTTTTATTTATTTTTTAGATGCTATGTCTGGCCAAATCATAATACATGAACACGAAAGAACATTTAACAAAATAATTGCTAATATTTTAAAGCATTCTGGCATAATAAAGCATCACAGCAATAAAATCCTTTTTTTTTTTGTTATTCAAAAT